CAACTGGGTACGACCCCCCCCCGTTGTTACTCGTAACAACGTAGGGTTGACCCTGAATACAAAGGACCTGATTCCGTCCACGAAAATCAGCCAAACATTCTTATGAGGCGGTGGTATGTAAAAGCTTTCCCGGCATCTTCTTGGGACATATAAGTTTAAACGTTTTTTTAGCTAGACGCTAGCTAGTCCTGCCTCATTTCGCCATCCAGCAGAGGTCATCGCTGCACACTTCGCTAGTTTTGACTGTAATGAGATGAGGTTGACTCTCGGTCGACGATCGAAGCGTTTATTCGCCGGAGTCTCGTAATGTCTGCAATTAGAAGGAGAGTCGTGCCTGGCAAGATGGACTAGTATTTCCAGAGCTATTTGAACTCTGGAGTGATTCGAATTCTGCTAAATTTACTTTCTGAAATTTGCGGGTTCTGGTCGTCTCAACACATAGCATCACACATACATGTAGATAAGCCCTTTCCATGCTGATAGTATTTTCGAGGTTTTTTTTGGCGAAGTTAGAAGGTGCACTGTGGACACCTCCTTAAAGGAATCCTTCTCGAAAAAATCGCGATTCTATCTCACCCATAATTCACTTTACCCATCGTTCACGATAAGAACGAAAAGAACAAAAAAATTGCATTTGTTTTGGTAAAAAATTCGAAAAACGAAAGGGCTGCTACGCGTTCAAAGTACCGCCGGACATCTGTCACAAATGCTGGCGACGGGAATGCTTCCACTTGGTTCTCGGAGTGCCGTCACTAGAAACTCTTTCTGGCCTTTTGACTTATTGCATTAACATCTCACACTTCTACTGCATCCTATTCTATCGATCGATTTGTCTCTACTCTCACAAGACAGATAATAAAGGCCGCGGAACGGCTGTTACCGTAACCCGTGGCCGCGCCCTTTCAATGAATTAGGTAGATTGGAGCCACATTCGCCCTTCTACAGCTCGGGTGCTCCGTACAATGGACGGGCTCCGTATCGTCCGCACTGTCGCGTGGAGTGCGCAGAAAAACGACGGAAGAGGCATGCCGAATGCCACGTGGCATCGATTTGTTGCGGCGGCGGATTACGGTAACAGCCGTTCTCGCGGCCGTTGTTATCCGTCTAATTCTACTCTCTCGCGAGCCGTTGTACTTGTCATGCAGATTTCTAATAACTTCGTATAGCATACATTATACGAAGTTATACGAATTGCGTCGCCTAATACGTAACCGCCCCAAGGCGGACTTCTTTCCATGCCCCGCCTATGGCTCCGCGCCACTTACCTTCGATTGTGGTTTTTGTAGATTTGTTTCTCTTCGGAAATTGAATGTGTGAAAATTTGTATGTTTTCTCCAGTGATCACAACTGACATATGCGTGTTGGGGATGAATGCAAAATTTCTTCGGGAAGGGTTCACTTACTAGTAGGGGGAGCCCAAGGTCAGCTTTCTGACGTCAGGCACCCTATCCAAGACTACCGATTAGCCTATTTCCTATGGTGGCTTCCACTGAAAGAAGAATCATCAATCAATCGATGTCATGAGTGTTCAAACAAACAAATTACTCAGAACGATCAATCGATAATGTTTCAGAGTCTGAATATGTCCCTGATCGATGGAAAAACACTGGGCGCAGCGTGGTTTGTATCAAACTGTTTTTCCTTTAGTGGAAGGCAGAGCTATGTCGAAGAACTCAAGGTTGTTCCTTTTTCTATCATTATTGAGTGTCGATTGGCAAAATTTGTCACAGAAGATTTTGAGTTATGTGGGGTAAACTTGTGAAGAATATCAACATCCAACAAAAAGTGATGATCAAGCGCCTTCACCCCTTCTAATAATTTTGCATGGATGCTGGACAGAAACCGCATCGCGAGACGAAGGCATCGTGCATTTGTAGCTCTGCATCTACGAGATTCCTTTATGAAGTTATCTTGGGAGCCCCTTGCTTTTTTGTCTCTTTTGACCTGTCTTCCTTCTTGTCCCTTTAAAGGCACGCTCTGCGATCAGGCGGGCTCGCCTGTTCCATCCAGGGGGTAGTAGGCAGGTGGACAAGTGTTGATGTCGGGCCCCTTTTGCGGCTTGAAAGTACGCGACAAAGGCGCAAGGAGCTCGTCCAACCCGCAACTCACACCTTCGTCCGCAAGCCCCACCCTTCGCTGTCGGGTGCGCATGAGGCAGTTAGTCCAGTCGGATCCCAATTGTTTCGGGTGACACTGGAGAAAAGTAGGAGTGGGTTAGGTTCGTGAAACTCGTCCAATTCGCCTCTTCTCTATCCCAAGGTGGAATGTGGCTGAAATAGGGGAGGTCTCTGTACGGGGCGTAATCGGTGGTTTCGCTTGCTTTCCTTCTCTTTTACAGACCACCTCCCACCTATAGCTTCATAACTGAACGCTTTTCCACACCTATTTTATCCCGAATCTTGCCTTTTAATCTCAGGCACGGCAATCAGGTTTTTCCGACTATATGAGCGTCCGACTATACGAGCGAGCTTTCAGTACCCGAGCAATCGAGAAAATTGAAGGAACTGAGGAAAATTGTCAAGAGATTGCCTCCTCTCTTCCCTGCAAATGCATTATATGTGACCAGTTCAGTGCATTATAACTCAGATTCTGCCAAAAATATCCGAAAAACAAACTTGTGGACACTTAGGATCTTTAGCGGAGCCAGCGAGGCTCATGGGTGAAACAAGTCGTAACTGTGGCGGTTGCGGCTACGTGGTGAGGTGAAGAATAAGGAAAAAGGAGATCAGGGTTGGACGTGTTATTCTACTCTCACAGGTCTCAAGCCATCGACACTTCCGTAAAATATTAGGATTAATCTATAAAACATGACCTTATTCGATGCAGGATATATAGGTTGGAAAGAAAGTTCTGCAACACCTTTCCAAAATTTTCTTTTTTTCTGAAAAATTCATAGGTAACATTTATGACTAACAAATGGTAGAGCATTCTCGAGGCTTCAATCCACGAGGTGGATATAAGTGCTGCAGTCAGTAGTTATCCAAGAAAATTCAAAAAACCTCGACCACTAGCAAATCCATACTCCGAGTCACTGTCTAGTACAAATGTCTCCATAACTATGGATTCGTGTCAACGACCTGCAATAGCTTCTATAGGCATGCCGTTCACCGCTACAGCGTGTTTCACCTTTACCAGCGCTTTCGATCCTTTTGATATTTTCGCTTTCGCTCTTTTAATCTTTTTATAATTCATAAGAAGCCAGCAGCGTCCCACACACTCCATTACAGGAGGGGCTCCACTACAAATTCTTCGTTATGGGCACCATTGTGTAGGTAGAGGTCTAGGCTGCGGAACTCCAGAAGCTGGCCGAGGCAGCTCGTCAGAGCCCTCGTACCGCGACAATATTTATTTCTTTCATGACATTGCGAATCACCATGATCCGAAATGAGCCCGGTAAGAAATTCTGGAGCTGCGGCAAGATTTCTTACCTCTCTTAGCGTATTCCCCTGGTCGAGCTATAAATGACTGCCACCTATCCTGGACCTTAAATCATCATCTTGATGACGAAATAATTAGACGATCAACTCCAACTCGAAAGTGAGGTCGCCTCCTTTCTCGACCCGCACTCCGCTGGGTTTTGGCAAAGGAGCATCAAGAAATTTTCTGAGCGTTGAAGACAAGTGGTGGACACTCATGGTAGATATAAGACCGGTCAGGAGTTGTAAACAAAAAAGATAAAATTAAAATCAAAAATTTGAAAAAGTGTTGCAGGACTTTCTTTCCAACCTAATATTACTTGAAAGAAGAATGGCATTTGAAGTCGAAGTTTGAGTTCGAACTCATGAAGTCCAAAAAATCACATGTCTGTCATTTCCATTATGTCATTCCCAATAGTGTGCAAAATAATGAACAGAAGTGCTCAATCGTAGAGGTACTTCCACCAGCGCTTTCAACGCTTCTAAGACTAAGATCACCCCCGAGGGAAGGGCATGCATTTCGTCTCGAAGCCGTACATACTCGGCTATAATAACTCAGCGATAAGAATTGATTTCTTCCAACTCTCCTTATTTTTCTGTTTATTTGCGCTTTTTTGTTTGTTTTTCTTATTTTAAAAATTTGATTTTTATTAGAATGAGTGCAAAGTTTCCTGTAATGGCCGTAACATAGGCTTTGATATTGAAGTTGACAGTTGAAATCCGCCACCTATCCTCCTACGACCTTCCAAATAACAACTTGACATCTAGTGTTCCATGTGGTTGTCTGGAAGGTCGCATGGACAGCTATATACCCTCCCCCCCCCCCCCCGCTCGACGGTAATTTTTTGGGGTAAAAATTGGTCGGAAAGGGGGGTCGTAGGAAACTTTTCCTGAAGGAGGGGGGTCGTAAAAACTTTTCGAAAAGTAGCAACGATAGGACTGACCCTGCTTCCTACCTGCACTGCGATGCCACTCATGTGTTCGTTAGTGACCCCACGAGTACGAACACCCATGCGGCCATCCTGCAAATAACGACCCTCCCCGTCGAGATTTTCTCGACCGATATTCGTCCTGCTAGCACCTACGAATTCAAAATGTCCATCGAGACCTCCTTCGAAAGAGAGGTCTCCTATTGTGAAAGATTGCGCTTTTAACAGAGAAACTAAGACACTCAAATCGGCCAACCTAATATTGTAATTCATCACAGAGAATCACAGATCTCACCTTTAACACTATCGGTACAACATAGTGCATATATCCATGATTCCATAGCTTCTCCGTGATATAATCTTTACAAATTGAGTTTTCAAAGGAGAGGTAAAAATGATAGCTGAAAGAAGAACATAGTGATTTTGAACAGAACTGGCCATAGATCTACAGTCAGGGTCAACCGTTACGTCTCCCCAGTCGTTCTGTTCTAAAAACCCGAACTATGTGTGTCATTTGTATGTATTTCTGTATATATGCATGTATGTATTGGCCCCCGACAGCTGCCGCACCCTTTCCTGTGTACAAGCTTTTGCATCCTCCTCCTCCCTTCTCTCTCTGCCCTTCCATGGCCTCTGCAGTGTACTGCACTGCACTGGGGATAAATCCGAGAAGATGGCAAAGCAGTATTATATATAGTCAGTAATGGGGCCGAGAGGTGTTATGCAACCATGCCATTGGAAAACATTGATGTGCAACTGAGAGATTTGCTAGCGGCTGATTACCCTATTTTCCGGTGTATAAGCCCGCCGCTAGTATCATGTAAAAACACCTCCACTGGTGCAGTGTACTTGAGTACATCTAGAGTCAACCGTAACATGCCCATAGGGGTAATTCGATATGCTGATCACGAAAACGACATTCGTTTTTAGCGGTGGCGGCATCTGGCGCCAGTTGGCGCCACCTTGTCACGACCCTTGTTTTCGCCAAAATCGGTGTAAACTTCAGTATAGGGGTTATTTGGGACCCTGATTACGAATATGACATTCGTTTTTGGCGTTAACGTTGTTTAGTGCACATGTCTCGGTTGGAGAGCGCAGACGAGCAGAAAATAGGCGTCAAACAGCGCCAGCGCCTATAATGAATGTCATATTCGTAATCAGGGTCCCAAATAACCCCTATACTGAAGTTTACACCGATTTTGACGAAAACAAGGGTCGTGACAAGGTGGCGCCAACTGGCGCCAGATGGCGCCAGCGCTGAAAATGAAAGTCATTTTCGTGATCAGGGCATCGACTTACCTCTATAGGCAAATTTGCGGTGGTTTCTAAGGTGTACAAAGTTACACTGCACGAGCGGGGGTGGTTTTACGTGAAATCGGCGCGGGCTTATACACCGGAAATTACTCTATTTGCTGCCTTGTCAAACACTTCATTTTGGGCACGAACAGACAGATATGCTTACGCACATACACACAAACAAATCGACACACACAAGGTTATGGTTCATATAAATGCCCAGATTGATCACCCACCAACCGCCGGAATCTCCCTTCCCTATGTAAGCTTAGCACCTTTCGCTGTATTCCCTTCACCCTGTGGCGCCAAAATTTCTTCGGAGTGTGGTGACACGAATGCACAAAATAGTTTTATTTTTCAGAGAGCATCGTAACAATCATAAAATGACACCTTGTGGTCGAACAATGCTTAACTATTCCTTATTAATGTTGGGGAATGGTTTTTCCCTCCTCTCCTCATTTTCCCTGCCTCACTTCCTCCCTCCACTGCTCTCCAGCTACCACTGCAGCACCATGTGGAACCGAGAGCTGGTAAAGTAGGTGCTTATATAGCCGACGGGGGTATTCTCGCAACCAAGCCATTGCCATAGTTATGATAATGCCCTCTACATATCAAATTCTTTTTTTTACGTAAGCTCCACGAGGAGTTATGGCTACAAGTGGAAGGGACCACAGCGAAAGCCGTAAAGCTTACGCAGGGAAGAGACGTCTTGGCGGCTTACTGGGACCAATTTGGTTCCAGATAAGCGACCATCACTAGTTTTTACTTCCACTAGACACTTGGATGGTGTTGATGATGTCCTTGAGCCTGGCTCATCCTGACATCCTTCCAGCTCCGCTTCAAAAACACAAAAGTGCGTTAAGTTAAACTAAAAAGAGGGAAGGGGTCCACACCTGACTAATAAAACGGCGATCTCTGTTCTTTCGCGAGGTTGCGATTCATGGAGTTTAAGCCTTCCGATGGATTATATAGCTTTTGAGGTTCCTCGAATAGTCGCAGAAACGCACCCACTTCCCAAGTTTTCTATTGTCGCCTCTTTTAGATAAACGATCCCATTGCTAGATATCACCCTTGTTATCCGACTCCGTTGACCCGGACTGTAGCTAACCATGCCATGTAGGCGCTTACTGTGTATCCAGCATCGCCTCACAGTAACCTCCACGTTCGCACGTTGGTGTCGTTGTCCGAGCGCACGCACCATACGTATCCACAGGATAATATTGCTGAAATTGACTCATCAAAATCCTTCAATCTCAGAAGCTTTTTCATATGAATATTTTCTTCATTTCATAGCTATTTAGCTTTCTTGGTTTCACATGAGACTCTTTGAAACTACGACAATTACCTCTATATCAGTAATCTTCCGACCATCCTATTTAATTACTACTATTTTTACTTATTATTGCTACCTTGCTACTTCAACTTTTGATTAAGTGGGGCCCGTTTCTGGGCGCACATTGCGGCGATCAAATTCCGGATAGAATTCGCCCCGTACACCAAACATTTCGTCCCTAAGAGGTGGGTCAATTACTACTAGACTTCTCTGGGAGCTAAAAACACTGCTTGAACTAAAGCAACAGTCCCAGCAGGGTTTTTATCTTTTGACACTGAGGGATGTGGAACGATGCGAAGCCCTGGGTCAAGAACATAAGAAGCGTGTAACTGAGCAACCTTACCTCACCTTGGAAAGCCGCTAGAAAGGGAGCTGAACGGCTCTGAAGTGGGCATCGCGGACTGAAAATCGGCGGGGTTATGCACAACACGCCACTTCAGGGCTGTTGGCCTTCCTTTGGAGCGGCTTTCTAAGCGTGAGTGTGGTCGTCTGTTGTGTATAATTTCTTACCCCCCCCCCCCCCCCCCCCCCCCCCCCCCCCCCCCCCCCCCCCCCCCCCCCCCCCCCCCCCCCCCCCCCCCCCCCCCCCCCCCCCCCCCCCCCCCCCCCCCCCCCCCCCCCCGCCCCACACGCCAAATCGGGATTCTGGCGAAATTTAGGTTTTCCCCGTCAAATATGCAGCAGTACGCAAGGGCAGACCATGTGCAGAAGTGGCGGGGCGATTTGACAAGGTTTAGGCGCTAGGAGCCTAGGTTGGAGCATTGGCGCCGCCCCAACCCCATTGAGCCCGCCCACTTTTCCATGCG